CCCCGTTACCGCTGTTCCTCCATCTCCGCATCTCCGCAGATGGAGTCCGTCAAACGGGAACGCAGACTCGGTCGCTGGGACGGTACGTGCCCTGCGGCGATGGGCGACAGGGAAGGCGTCGAATGCAGTGAGTGTGTCGGTGTGCCTCCCATCAACCGCGCCATCGTCACTTTCTGTATGTCTGGGTGTCTGTGGGTCTCTATGGGTCTGGGTGTCTGTGGGTCTCTGTGGGCTGGGTGTCTGTGGGTCTCTATGGGTCTGGGTGTCTGTGGGTCTCTGTGGGTCTGGGTGTCTGTGGGTCTCTGTGGGTCTGGGTGTCTGTGGGTCTGGGTGTCTGTGGGTCTCTGTGGGTCTGGGTGTGTGTGGGTCTCTGTGGGTCTCTGTGGGTCTGGGTGTCTGTGGGTCTGGGTGTCTGTGGGTCTCTGTGGGTCTGGGTGTCTGTGGGTCTCTGTGGGTCTGGGTGTCTGTGGGTCTCTGTGTGTCTGTGGGTCTCTATGGGTCTGGGTGTCTGTGGGTGTCTGTGGGTCTGGGTGTCTGTGGGTCTCTGTGTCTCTGGGTGTCTGTGGGTCTCTGTGGGTCTGGGTGTCTGTGGGTCTCTGTGGGTCTGGGTGTCTGTGGGTGTCTGTGGGTCTGGGTCTCTGTGGGGTCTCTATGGGTCTGGGTGTCTGTGGGTCTCTGTGGGTCTGGGTGTCTGTGGGTCTCTGTGGGTCTGGGTGTCTGTGGGTCTCTGGGTCTCTGTGGGTCTGTGTGTCTGTGGGTCTCTATGGGTCTCTATGGGTCTGGGTGTCTGTGGGTCTCTATGGGTCTCTATGGGTTCTCTATGGGTCTGGGTGTCTATGGGTGTCTGTAGGTCTCTGTCTGTCTGGTGTCAACTCCATTCGACCGGTTCCATCTGCCGTGGCGGTTGAGGGTTTAAAAACAACAACAACCTCTTTTCTATGAAGCGCCTTCCACCAGCAGCAGCAGTACCAGCAGCAGTAGGAGCAGCAGCAGTAGCAGCAGCAGTAGTAGTAGTAGCAGCAGTAGTAGTAGTAGCAGTAGTAGCAGCAGCAGCAGTAGTAGCAGCAGCAGCAGTAGCAGCAGCAGTAGTAGCAGTACAGCAGCAGCAGTAGCAGCAGTAGCAGCAGCAACAACAGCAGTAGCAGCAACAACAGCAGCAGCAGCAGTAGCAGCAGCAGCAGCAGTAGTACCAGCAACAGCAGTAGCAGCAGCAGCAGTAGCAGCAGTAGCAGGTAGTAGTACCAGCAACAGCAGTAGCAGTAGCAGCAGTAGCAGCAGTAGTAGTACCAGCAACAGCAGTAGCAGCAACAGCAGTAGCAGTAGCAGCAGCAGTACCAGCAGCAGCAGTAGCAGCAGCAGTAGCAGCAGCAGTAGCAACAGCAGCAGCAGCAGCAGCATCCCAGACGCTGATCCACCGCTCACAATCCCCCTCCCCTGCCCCCGAGCTGCAGGTCCCGATCTGAGCCTCGTCAAAGTGGAGAGGCCGGAGGAGAGAGGAGACACGGAGAGCGTAGACCGCAACTTCATCGAGGTGGAACTCGAGGAGGAGGAGGAGGGGGGCGGCATGGGTCATGGTGAGTCCCATTGATTGACTCACTCTCACTACTGAACTAAACTATTAAATTTCGATTTAAAGCTTTCGTGACTGCAGGGATTCATCTTCTTGGTTCTTTCGGTAAATTCACGTAGAAGGGAAATAATAAAATAATAATAATAAAACATAATAAAACAATTCTCATGACGTTTCTGCCACAACGCAAGCAGCCGTCCTCAGGTGAAAACCAGGTCTGTCGGGGAGACAGCGTCTGAATGAAACACCACCATGCTTGGAGCATGTATATAAGCTGGGTTGGAAGGGGGGAAAAGGGCGCTTCGACAAAATAATTAGCATATCAAGAGGAATTTAGCATATTTATGGGAAATGCAGGTATGTGATTAGTACTACTTATGCCCGTGCATTATGCAGGATTAGCAGCATCAAAGGGAGGGGGATATGGGAAATGCAGGTATGTGAATAGTACTTCTCATGCCCGTGCATTATGCAGGATTAGCATCATACAAGGGAGGGGATAGGGGTAGCATTAATAAAGGGAAGGAGTGTTAATAGTATGTAGCTGCAGTAACTAAAACCACCACGTAAACAATTAAAGTATAAACTACATAGTATCATCAGTATACTAAATATACTCTACAATAAGCTGAGTTACTAACAGTAAGTAATACATTACAATTCTACGTCGTAAAAAAATATATAATATGCTTCCATCTAAACTTTATTCTCTTACATCACACGAGTCTACACCGTACTATATACTGCCATAGACAAACCCAACATTAAATTATATACTGTATTGCTAATAACCACCTTATACATTGTAATATAACACTATGTATTATTGGAAAAATGTCAAAACTGGGTGGTTTTTTACTTTTGCCGACAAAACTGGATCCCAAATGTCAAAACTGGGTGCACCCTGGGTGGCCAAAAACTTGAGTTTTGGACACTCAGGGTGCACCCAGTTTTGACATTTGTCAAATACACTTGATAATTGTATACTAGCACAGTGTGCCAGCACCCCATTCATCCAAACACTTGGTATTTGTATACTGGCACACTGTGCCAGCACCCCATTCATCTAAACACTTGGTATTAGTATGCTGGCACAGTGTGCCAGCACCATATAACTACACACACTTGATATTTGTATGCTGGCACAGTGTGCCAGCACCCCAACGACCAACATTTCAAGCTACGGCTCGGACTCGGAAGTGAGCTCAGAGTGGGCTTGCAACCAGGCGGGCGCACTGCCACCTTGCGTGATGACCTAGACTAGTGACTCGCGTCAATACCAAACTTTTGGATTGTTGCCATGCATTCGACCATAGCCCGCCAAACGACCAAGCACAGAGACAAAGGCGACGTCCTTGGGAGATGGACCAGCCTGCTTGACGCTCCTGACCATGGTCCCAATGGTGCGGAACAAACCAACGAATGCGCATCTCGTTGATTGGTCAATCCTTTGGCCCACCGTTACGGTGATTGGCGGAAATATTGTGTGAAAAATCAAATTGCTGGCAATGAAAATAGACATATTGTCTCGTGAAAAATTGAAAGTAGACGTAGAAACGTGATTTTTCACAAGCATTTTTCACGAAACAGGTGGAGGAGCGGCTCACATTCGAATGGCAACCCTCCACCCCAAGAAGACTTTTACCACGCGCCGCGAGGCCATCCACGGCATCCAAGACTTTGCTTTGCAACAAGGCAAGCGCGCGGTCCTTGACCTCAAGCGAAGCGGCGGACGGCACGTTGCCATCGTCTGCTCTAGTTCAACACCTTGTTCCTTCAAGGTGAAGCTGACGAAGCTCACGGGGGAACGACGTGGCTTCCGCGTCTCGGCGCTGTGCACGGATCACCACGGCTGCACGGGCACTGCCAAGATCACGCAGCGCCAAGTGGAGGTGAACACGACAGCCCGTTCGGCCTTTCGCGCCAACCCCCGTACCTCCGCACCGACTGTCATTGCCCAGGTCGCCGACATTGCTCGCGTCATTGTCCCGACCCGGATGATGTACCGCGCCAAGGACACGTGCATCGCGGCGAACGAGAGTGCGGCCCATGCAGGCTTCGAGTTCATCAACTCGCTGGTGGAGACGTTCGGCAAGCTCAACGCGACGATCTGCAGTGTGCGAGAAGACGCGGGCATCTTCTGGGGTGCGTTCATCTGCAACCCGATCGCACGCTCGTTGCAGCCAAGTCTTCAACGCGTCGTCGGCATCGACGGGTCGCACATGAAGGCGCGCGCCTACAATGGAACCATGCTCGTCCTCGTTGGGCGCGACGGCAACAACCGCAACGTCCTTCTCGCCGTGGCGCTGGTGCCGTCCGAGACGGCAGCGGCCTACGACTGGTTTCTCAACTGCTGCACGACCAACGACATCGAGCTCGACGGCACGCCGGTCTTCTGCGATCGTGGCACGGGCATCCTAGCCTCCGACTGGAAGGACCTCATGCTCATCCACTGCACGCGGCATTTGATCTGCAACGGCGTGGACAACATCGGCTCCGCGTTCACGCCCGACCTCCAAGGCATCATCTACGATGCCCAAGGGTGCGCCTCCGAGGCCGCGTTCCGCAGCTCCTTGGGCTGCTTGGGCGTAGCTCTGCCTGCGGCGGCCACGTACTACAACAAGATCGACCCCCACACGTGGGCGCTCTACCCGCACCTGCACACGACGCCATTGTACGGCTGGCGCACGACGAACTTTGTGGAGTCCACGAACAGCGAGGCCCTGCCGGCTCGCGAGATGGACCCCTTCCACTTCCTCATGCACCACATGGAAGACATGATGACGACGGCCTTTGCCCACCGCAGCGACGCCGAGAAGTGGGCCGCTCAAGGGCGTGTCATTACGCCGTACGCTCAAGGACTCATCGACGCTCAGCAGGCGTTGGCCCCGAGGTACAAGGTCTACGAGAGTACCTCGACGCGTGCATACGTCAAGGATCCAGACGCCTACGCCTCTGCCAAGCGCCGAGTCGATCTCAGCTCTCGGTCGTGCACGTGCGGGTACATGAAGCAGATGGGCTTGCCGTGTCGGCACTACATTCGTGCCCTCATGGCGTTTGGGCGGATGCCCGAGCTCTACGACGCATGTGCGGTGTGTTACCAAGTCTCTGCCATCAACACGACATGGACCTCGGTTGCCGGTATCGAGCTGCCCATTGCCGAGGAGCTGCAACGCGACAACACCATGATGCCACCTCCTCGCCAGAAGAAGGCTGGCCGCCCGAAGAAGCGTCGGATTCGCAACCGTGGCGAAGGTGGCCCATTGGGCCTCACGCGGTGCTCCTTCTGTCACGCCAAGGGCCACAACAAACGCTCTTGCCCGTCGAAGTAGTTATATATATGTAACAAACATGTTTTGTTCTAAGTGTGCAGCACCATACTTCTCGACGCAAACACTATCTACCGTTGTTCTACTGTAGTAGGTGTAGCATGCAAGCTGGCACACTGTACCAGTATACAAATGGCAAGTTCGTGTATGTTCGCGAGCTGAAAGTGTTACTGTAGTTGCAAGCTGGCACACTGTGCCAGTATACATATGGCAAGTAAGTGTCACTGTAGTAGCGAGCTGGCACACTGTGCCAGTATACAAACGGCAAGTAAGCGAGCTGGCACACTGTGCCAGTATGCAAACGGGAAGTTTGTGGTGCAAGGTATGGAACATGAGCCACGAGAAACATCATTTGGAACGCTCTAAATCTGTGGCGACATATGGATGAATAACGCAAGGACCTAAACGTGTACAAAATGATACATTAAATCGTACACCTTCTTCACCCAGTTTTGACATTTGTCCACATTGAACATCACCCAGTTTTGTCATATCAAAAAGCACCACCCTGTTTTGCCTGTCGTTTTCCAAGACCACCCAGTTTTGACATTTGGGATCCAGTTTTGTCGGCAAAAGTTAAAAACCACCCAGTTTTGACATTTTCCCTTAAATTATATACTGTATTGCTATAAACCACCCTATACCTTATACATTGTAATATTACACTATGTATTATTCTACCCACCCTAATGTGTATCACACTGCTGTATATTGACTATACAATTACGATACTATATATTACTTTGTACATTGTATTAAGCATATAAATGTTATACTATTTGTTATTATACACTGTACCATTGACCGTCGTGTGAAAGATACTAAGAGGAAGCAACGAAGCAAACGAAATAATGGGTGAGTAGTGGCAGGAAACTTGCAGCGGAGCAAAGAATCCATTCCCTGCGGAGAATACAATGCCAGTGAGTGGCACGCGGTCTGAAAGTCACCGCAAACGTGAACACAATCAGTTAAGATCTGAAATGGTTCCAATGATTGCTAAGCCAGAATCCATCTTCTCGGTTGAAATTGTCTCTGTGTTTGTATATGTGGATAGCCTCATGAACGAATCTCTCATGGTAGCCAGATGGCTTGCAGAGAACCTCTGTCTTGGAGAAGTCAATGTCATGTGAGCCCACTGAATTGTAACAGTGATCTGCCACGGCTGAGGTGTTTGTCCTACCGTGTTTCAAGTCTGCTTTATGTTCACGGATGCGGTCCGAGACATGTCGTTTGGTTTCTCCAATGTAACTGCTACCACAGAGGCAACTTAGTTTGTAGACGCCAGGGTACTGTATGTCTGGAACTTCAGCCTGTCGCGTCACGCGTCACGCACTCGGGGGAGCAGCCGCACGTGTGCCCCGTTTGCGGCAAGGGCTTCTTGTGTTTTATTTTTATTATTTTATTATTTCCCTTCTACGTGACGACTTTAACCGAAAGAACCAATAAGACCGCAGCCACCGCCGCGCCACTCCCGCTAACCGATCGATCCGCGTCGCCCCCGGCGCACGTTAACCACCGCCGGCGTCACCTTCTATTTCTGTGTCTCACGGAAACCGGCGAAGGCGACGACGACGACGGTGACGACGGCGAGCGGAGGAGGGAGGGGGAGGAAGCGAGGCGGCGGCGTCGTCGGCGTCGTCGGCGGCGTCGCCGCGAGGACGCACGAGTGCGGCGAGTGTGGCAAGTCCTTCTCGAGCAAGTTCAGCCTGACGCGTCACGCCGTCACGCACTCGGGGGAGCAGCCGCACGTGTGCCCCGTGTGCGGCAAGGGCTTCTCCTACCGCCAGAGCCTGGCGGCGCACGGGCGCACCCACACCGGCGAGCGTCCGCACGCCTGCCCGGCCTGCGGCAAGCGCTTCGCCGAGCGCTCGGGCCTGGAGGTCCACTCGCGGACGCACACGGGCGAGCGTCCGCACGCCTGCCCCGAGTGCGGCAGGGCCTTCTCCCACCACAGCAACCTCAAGAAGCACCGGCGGTCGCACTCAGGGGAGCGCCCCTTCTCCTGCGAGCTGTGCGGCAAGCGCTTCGCCAAGAGCTCCGTGCTGCGGATGCACTACCGCACGCACTCGGGCGAGAGGCCTCATGTCTGCGCCGAGTGCGGCCGGGGATTCACGCAGAGCTACGACCTGGTGGAGCACCGGCGCACGCACACGGGCGAGCGTCCGCACGCTTGCGACGAGTGCGGAAAGCGCTTCTCCCGCAGCGAGTACCTCAAGGTGCACGGGCGCACGCACACGGGAGAGAAGCCGTACGCCTGCGACGACTGCGGCAAGCGCTTCACCCGGCGGGAGTACCTCAAGGTGCACGCCAGGAAGCACGCGGGCGAGGGGGCGCTGGGAGCGGCGCCGGCGCTGGGAGCGGCGCTGGGAGCGGCGCTGGGAGCCGGCCGCGAGTAAACGCCACGACACGCCGCCGGCAATGGGGGCAGAAGTTGACGATCGCTACGCGTGGCTGTGTGCGCGTGGTGATGCCACCGCCGCTTAGTGGTGAATGGCGGTTGTTGTTGTTGTGTGGGGAGCGGTGGTGTAGCGGTCAGCGCTACGACCACGGCGACCCGAGTTCGATTCCCGCTCACGGCCAACACCGGTGACGATTATTTCAACCGGTCCTGGGCCTCTCCTAGGTTGACTCAGCATCAAACAAGTAACTGGTGTGTTGTGTGTGAACATCGCCACTTGGGAGACAAAGGCGGCCGGGCGTGGTGAACCCAAGTCCCGGGCAAAGCCGGGTAGTACGGCTCGTACCTGATGATCTCTTGTGATCTATAACCTCGTGCCACGGAAGATCTCTCTAGTTCAGCAGTTCTCACCTGATGACGGCCGCCTGGGTTGTGATCGAAACGTCGCGATCTGTGATGTCTCTGAAAGTGTTGTTGTTGTTCGGGAAAAGTTTGTAAGGAACAGGAGAGAGATGAAGAGCTCACAGACAATGTCTAGACGACGACATCACAAGAGATTGGTGCCAGACGTGGCCACCAGAACACACGACGGAATGTGCAGTGGACACCTGCAGGGCTCTCTGTGCCCAGCCCGTGGATTGGGATGATGATGTTGATGCACTACGCTATACACTGCTACACAGTATACTACTATACACTACACTATACACTATACTATATACTGCTATACACTACCCTATTATACACTCCACTATACACAACACTATATACTACTATATACTACTATACACTACACTATATACTACTCTACACTACCCTACTATACACTACACTATATACTACTACACAATACACTACTATACACTACGCTATACACTACTACACACACTATACACTACTACACACACTATACACTACTACACAGTACACTACTATACACTACACAATATACTACTATACACTATCCTACTATACACTCCACGATACACTACGCTATACACGACTACACAGTACACTACTATACACTACACTATATACTACTCTACACTACCCTACTATACACGATACACTACACAGTATACTACTACACAGTACACTACGATACACTACTACACAGTACACTACTACACAGTACACTATATACCACTCTACACTGTACACCACACTATACACTACATTATACACCACTACATTATACACCACTACACAGTACACTACTATACACTACACTATATACTACACAGTACACTACACTATACACTACTACACAGTACACTACACTATACAATACTACACAGTATACTACTATACGCTCCACTATATACTATGCACTACACTATACACTACTATACACGACCCTACTATACACTACTATACACTACACTATACACTACTACACAGTATACTACTATACATTACTATACACTACACTATATACTACACTATATACTACACAACACACTACACTATACACTACACTACGACGGAGCCAGGCCATTGCTGCTTTGGATCTTCCAAGTACAGTCTGGTTCTCCTGTAGCCGGGCGGTTGTTGCGTTACTAAAGAACAGCGCGTTATGTAAAAGTCGCGTTATAATCTATAATACAGGGAGCAAAGCATCGTCCGCGATAACACGTGAGATGCGTACGCAGGCCAAACAATGTCCGAGGCGCGTGGGTAGGTCGCGTCGAGAAGTATCCAGCAGCATCCCGATGCCTCGTGCGTGTTCGCGATGACGATGCCACCGCTTCTCCCTACTCGCGTTACAATCTCTGGATCCAATCCGTGTCGTTTAAAAACGCCTTCCCTAACGCAACGTTCATCGTAGTTGCTGCAGATATCGGATTCGCGTTCTGAAAACAACCACCACCACCTCGGCGTGATGGGGGAGAAACGCAGGCTGGAGTTGCTTATTCGCGATGTCGTGAGAGTTTTTTGTGAAATAGCCACCAGCCATGCCCTGTTGTGCTTTGCTTGGAGGAGCTCGTTATACTGGTAGGAACGAAGTGAACCAGCCTACAATAGATTATATCGTCCGTCCGTCCGTCCGATGTCCGATTAGGTGTAACAACATCGCCCCCTACTGCAAACACTTGGCAGGACCCTACAAAAACCTTTAGACTCAGTGAGGCTTTCCTGGCTAAACAAGTGTAACATTCCCTTATAATTCCCTGAGATAGTTTTTAATTAAAACATTTAAATTTAACTCACAGCGGCCTAAAGCCTACAGCTAGGCCTAAAGCCTAGAACTAGGCCTCAAACTATCCCTTCGTATCGTACCCCCCGCCATTTCATTTTATTATAGCCATTCATTTGTTCGTTCCTACCAGCCCACCCCGCAGGGACCTGTTTATCGTCGTCATTTAGCGTATACGGTAGTAACGCTTATAACCGCGATGTGTGGAGTAGCTCTGCTCGTGTGATGTTTGTGATAAACGCCGCCTCCCATTGCCACTCCCTGTGTGGGTTTTTGTTGCCGTTGATCGAGTCGCATGGCGGGAGGGAAAGAAACGGAGGACCCGGAGAAAATTCCACGCGACCACGAGGAGAGAGAGAGAGAGAGAGACACGCAGACTCCGAATATACAGCAGCAGGCGTCGGGATCGAACCCACGACCTCCAGCATACCGGGCGATGTAGTTAACATCTCGCCACCGGCCGACTTAGGAACAGGCTTCATACCTTTAAGAATGGGATTTGCAACAAACCTGACACCTTTTTTACAAGGAGTCATGTTTGCATAGACCACAATACCTGCAGTCATAATGCAAACAAAAACACAACTCTGATAATGTATGCACTGTCCTTGAAGTTGATTGGCCCACACCCGAGACAATTCGTAAATAGGTGTAGGTCTACAATCTTGTCCCTGACATCCTTGGAGAGCTCTTTGGTCTTGGCCATGGTGGAGAGTTAGGAAACTGATTGATTGATTGCTTCTGGGAACAGGTGTCTTTTATACAGGTAACAAGCTGAGATTAGGAGATTTTTTGTTTGTTGTCGACCAGTTTTATCAGAACGTTATGCCACAAGTCCTGTGTGCGGTTAAAGCAGACTTGATGATGCCTCGCAATGGCCGTGCGTGTGTTGGCGTTTATTACCAGAAAGGGTTAGGAACCCACTGTTTTCACAATCGCTCAAACGATTCACGTTCCACGTCGCCTCCGCGTTTAAAGACCACGCCGGCGTTTAATGTTCAAGCGTCACGTGTGTTTAGCACCCAACGCGGCGAAAACTCGGCTACGCGCTCGCACGACGCCGTGACGCGCACGCAAAGCTCGCCAACGAGAAGAACCGGACGCGGGTTTTGCTTAAATACTCGTTACGTTTGCCGGCGACATTTTCCACACATTCGTGTTATTAAAATTTTCGGTTGAGAGTAAAAAAAAATGAATATTTACATATTTGTGTACAACTTTACCCTGACCCCGCGTCCTCCGTCACGTCCACGCCGAATTCTCCACTTGTCCAATCGTTGCCGCCTGCATCGTCACCTGCGGTACATCCCAGGGGAGCTACGTCCCGTCCAGAAACGCCGCAGCACCAACGTTCAACTACGCTGAAGATCATCAAAAACAACAACGACGTCGCTCGCAAAAGACGACTCGGCCAACGATCTCCTTGATACTCTTAGTTCTTTCGGTAAAGTCACCATGTAGGTAAAAATGAAATTAAAATTTATAAAAAATAAAAACAATAAAATCACGACGTTTCGGAGGCAACACAAGCGTCCGTCTTCAGGTGAAACTGTCACAGCAAAAAATCTGTATCAAGTGAAGAGAAGTTTCACCTGAAGACGGAAGCTTGTGTTGCCTCCGAAACGTCGTGATTTTATTGTTTTTATTTTTATTAATTTTAATTTCAACTTTTACCTACGTGACTTTACCGAAAGAACTAAGAGTATGAATCCTTGCAGTCACGAAAGCTTCAAATCTAGGATCTCCTTGCTGCTGTGGCTGTGGCTGTGAATTTCAAGATGTCCGTTGAGCTGCTTTCGCACCGCCGTACGTAGCCAACCTTGCTAATCTGTGTGTCTCTGTGTGTCTCTGTGGGTCTCTATGGGTCTCTGTGGGTCTCTGTGTGTCTCTGTGTGTCTCTGTGTGTCTCTGTGTGTCTCTGTGAGTCTCTGTGGGTCTATGTAGGTCTCTGTGGGTCTCTATGGGTCTCTGTGTGTCTCTGTGTGTCTCTGTGGGTCTCTGTGGGTCTCTGTGGGTCTCTATGGGTCTCTATGGGTCTCTATGGGTCTCTGTGTGTCTCTGTGAGTCTCTGTGGGTCTCTGTGGGTCTATGTGGGTGTCAACAAACTAAACACGACAACAAGTGCTGAAGAGATGAGTTTGTCAATCCAGGTGAAGACTCTAGAGTGCACAGCTCCCAATGGCTTCCTCACATCGGAAGGAAGAGCGCGTTCCAGACGGCCGCAAAAGCAGCGCAATCTGAAAAGCGCCGCGCGACGATGCCGTCTTTGTCCGAAGGCTTCGCCACAAGCCGCTGCCGCCGATAACGCGACGATGCTTCACGTCGCTCCGTGTCGATGAGCTCAGCGGCGAGGTGTCGCGGTGGCGTCGCCGTCGCCGCCGCCGCCGCACCGGAACGAACGCCGGTCGCCGTGCGAACGCCGGTGCTTGGCGAGGTTCGAACGGCTGCCGAAGCGGCGGCCGCAGTCGGGGCAAGCGTGGCGGCCCTTGCCGGCGCCTGGGGGGGGGGGGGCGGCACGCCGAGGGGGGCGATGTTCCGGCTGTACGACACTCGGTGCCTAAGGAAAGTGTAAAAGTCTAAACATTGGTAGCAAGAACCCCGACTTGAACGTTTTCTCTTAAGTTGAGCCTGGCACAGCCTGTGGATGTGGCGGCCGTCTGGATGTGCCTGTGTCGCTGCTGCTACTGCTGTTACTGCTGCTGCTACTACTACTGCTGCTACTACTGCTGCTGCTACTGCTGCTGCTACTGCTACTACTACTGCTACTACTGCTACTACTGCTGCTGCTGCTGCTACTTCTACTGCTGCTGCTACTACTGCTGCTGCTGCTACTTCTACTGCTGCTACTTCTACTGCTGCTGCTACTACTGCTGCTACTACTGCTGCTGCTGCTACTGCTACTACTACTGCTGCTGCTACTGCTGCTACTACTGCTGCTACTGTTGCTACTACTGCTGCTGCTGCTGCTACTACTGCTGCTACTGCTGCTGCTGCTACTACTGCTACTACTGCTGCTACTACTGCTGCTGCTGCTACTACTGCTGCTGCTGCTGCTGCTGCTACTACTGCTACTACTGCTGCTACTACTGCTGCTGCTGCTACTACTACTGCTGCTGCTGCTACTGCTGCCACTACTGCTGCTGCTGCTGCTATGGACGTGGGAGGGGGGGGGGGCACAGGCTCTGTGGGAGCTGGACTCACCTTTCCTCGTGTCCTCCAACTCCACTACCACCTCCGCAGGCCTCTGCTGCTGCTCCTCCACCACCTCCTCCTCCCCCATCACCTCCTCCTTCACCTCCTCCTTCACCACCTCCTCCTCCCCCATCACCTCCTCCTTCACCACCTCCTCCTCCTTCACCACCTCCTCCTCCTTCACCACCTCCCCCATCACCTCCTCCTCCTTCACCGGGAGGCCACCGTCGCCACCCAGCGCCGCCATCGCCTCTGCCTCTCCCACGTCTATAGCGGCAGCAGTAGCAGCAGTAGAAGTAGTAGCAGCAGTAGCACCATCAGCAGTAGAAGTAGTAGCAGCAGTAGCACCATCAGCACCATCAGCAGTAGCAGCAGTAGCAGCACCACCAGCAGCAGCAGCCAGACAGACGCCCACGACGCAAACGCGACAATAAAACCTCCACCACCACCTCCACCTTCACTACCACCAACACTGCTCCGTCCGTCTGTCCCTCCCGACCTCCTGCACACCAGGCGAGGTAGTCAACATCTCCTACCCACCGTGGCGTCAGGGTCGGGATGGCACCCACGACCTCCTGCACACCAGGCGAGGTAGTTAACATCTCGTAGCCACCGTGGCGCGAGACGGGGACTCACCGTAACCGTCATCCTGGCGCTCCACCTTCACCGCCACCGTCGTCCGCATGGAGGGACCCTCCTCCTTCACTTTGCCGGATCCCCTCTCTGTGAGCACGCCGCTCGGGGTGGAGGAGCTGTCTGTAGACATCTCCTCCTCCCCCCCCCTCCTCCTCCTTCCCCTCTTGCCGCTGCCACCGCTCTCCGGCCGTGTCCCCCTCGCCCCCCACCACCGCCGGCGCCCCGAGGCCGCCAGCGCCGCCCCCCCACCGCGGTGGCCCGAAGTTAGAGACGAGCGTGTACTGCGGCGCCGGCACCGGCTCGGCCGCCCGACCCTCGCGGCCTCCCCGGGCCCCACGCTGGCGAGCGCCGTGGCGGGCGTGCTGGTGGTCCTTGAGGTGCGCCAGCAGCACAAAGCGCTCGCCGCACGAGTCGCAGCGCCACTGCCACATGTCGCCGCAGCTGCCGCCGCCGCCACGCTGGTGCTGGCCCAGCTCGGCCGGCGTGAAGAAGGCCGAGCCGCAGCGGGCGCAGGCGTAGCGGCTGCCGGTGCCGTCCCTCGCCGCCGTGATGGCGGTGGTGGCGGTGGTGGCGGTGGTGGTGGTGGCGGTGGTGATGGCGGCGGTGGTGGCGGCGGTGGTGGCGGCGGTGGAGTCTCCCCCCCCGGTGCCCCCCCCCTTCTCCCGGGCTGCGTCAAGGATGAGGCGGCGGCTGCAGTTGATGCGGGAGATGCGAGACTGCGACGTGCCGAAGAGCCGGGCGATGGAGTCCTGCGACCACCGGCGGTCCAGCAGCGCGATGATCTGCAGGCACTGGGGCAGCGTCATCGGTCGCCTGCCTGCCGGCGGGACCGGGGATCGGCCGGTTTGGAGAATTAAATACGGTAGACACAAACTCCCTGGTTCTGCATAATGCACGGGCACAAGTAGTACTAATCACATACCTGCATTTCCCATATCCCCTCCCTTTGATGCTGCTAAGCCTGCATAATGCACGGGCATAAGTAGTACTAATCACATACCTGCATTTCGCATATCCCCTCCCTTTGATGCTGCTAATCCTGCATAATGCACGGGCATATGTAGTACTAATCACATTCCTGCATTTCCCATAAATATGCTAAATTCCTCTTGATATGCAAATTCTTTTGTCGAAGCGCCCTTTCCCCCCCTCCCAACCCAGCTTATATATATGCTCCAAGCTCGTGTGCTGTTTCATTCAGACGCTGTCTCCCCGACAGACCTGGTTTTTCACCTGAGGACGGCTGCTTGCGTTGTGGCCGAAACGTCGTGAGAATTATTTTATTATGTTTTATTTGTATTATTTTATTACTTCCCTTCTACGTGACTTTACCGAAAGAACCAAGAAGATGAATCCCTGGTTCTTTCGGTAAAGTCACGTAGATTGAAAAAATTATAGAGTAAAGAAAACACGACGTTTCAGATCAAGACAGGAAACACAATCCGTGATCTAATCCCGTCCGTGAAGGGGGTCATTCTTGACTTGCAGTACCCTGGAGTCTACAAACTGAGGGGCACCTGCGGTAGCAGTCGCATTGAGGATACGAAACAACACGCCTCGGACCGTGTCCGCGAACACAAAGCAGATCTACAACACGGCAGAACCAACACCTCTGCCGCGGCTGACCACTGCTACAACGCTGCGGGCTCGCGTGATATTGACTTTTCCGAGACCAAGGTGCTCTGCAAACCTTCGGGCTACCATCAAAGGTTTGTTCATGAAACCATCCAGATATAGAAATATAACTTGAACCGAGAGGATGGATACAAGTTGAGCAATCATTGGAAGGATGTTATTAACCAGGTAAAGCCTTCACTTTTCGATGTAAAGCTTTCGTGACTGCAGGGATTCATCTTCTTGGTTCTTTCTGTAAAGTCACGTAGAATGGAAACAATAAAAATTAATAAAATAAAACATAATAAAATAATTCTCACGACGTTTCGGCCACAACGCAAGCAGCGGTCATCAGGTGAAGACCATAAAACATAATAAAATAATTCTCACGACCAGGTCTGTCTATTTTTATTGTTTCCATTCTACGTGACTTTACCGAAAGAACCAAGAAGATAAAGCCTTCACTGTTGTAGTTGTTTTCATCTTGTCCGCTGGGTACTGGTAGATTTTTCCGAGTCACTTTCCCCCGCCGTGTCCCACTACTAGCCCCACCCAGCCTCACTTCTTCTCCCCCTCGCGCTCACGCAGCCCCCCCCATTCCCCTACCCCCCTTTCTCCCCCCTTGCCCCCCCCCCACCTTTCCTACCTATATAACCTCTTGCCACGGCAGCTCTCTCGCCCACTCCCAGCGTTTGTCTTGCCGATGAGGATCGCCTGCGTTGCCATCGAAACGTCGTGGTTTGTTTTGTTTTACATCATTTTATTTCTACCCACGTGACTTTGCCGAAAGAAGCACAGAGCAGAGCAGAGTGGGTCTCACCGATCTTGCTGACTGCCGGCGCCGGCTGTGGGCCCCAGCCGGCCCCCACCACCGACCCCTCCCCCGTTCCCCCTGGGGGGGGGGGCCCTGTCTCCGAGGGGTGCCCCTGGGCTGGGGGGGGGGCACGCAGGAGGTAGGGGGGTGGGGGGGTATGAGGGGTAGCCGTTAGACACGCCCCGTCACCGCCCCCGGTGTTACCACCAGCGTACCCACAGTACACCCACAGTGTTACCACCAGCGTACCCACAGTACACTCCTGGCGTTACCACCAGCGTACCCACAGTACACTCCCGGCGTTACCCCCGGCGTTACCACCAGCGTACCCACGGTACACCCCCGGCGTTACCACCAGCGTACCCACGGTACACTCCCGGTGTTACCACCAGCGTACCCACAGTACACCCCGGAGTTACCACCAGCGTACCCACAGTACACTCCCGGCGTTACCACCAGCGTACCCACAGTACACCCCCGGCGTTACCACCAGCGTACCCACAGTACACTCCCGGCGTTACCACCAGCGTACCTACAGTACACCCCCGGCGTTACCACCAGCGTACCCACAGTACACCCCTGCCGTTACCACCAGCGTACCCACAGTACACCCCCGGTGTCACCACCAGCGTACCCACAGTACACCCCCGGCGTTACTCCCGGCGTTACCACCAGCGTACCTCGGTCCTCCCCTTCCACGCCCTCCAGCTTCACCAGGGCCGATGGCCCTCCGTCTCTCGCTCCACCGCCACCACCACCACCACCGCACCACCACCACCACCACCCGCCAACGCCCGGCCCCTGTCCCCGCGCCGCCGCCCCCGTCCCCGCGTCCGTGCCGACCCCCGGCGCCGGCGTCCGCAGGCGCCCGTGTCCGGCGTAGCGATCATGGTGAAGTGCGCCTGCTGCTGCGCCGGCTCGCCCCGCACGGTGCCGGTGCCGGTGGCGTCGTCTTCGTCGTGCGCCCGCAGGTGTCGCTTGAGCACGGCGATGGTGGGGAATCCGCACTTGCACTCGTTGCACTGCCACAGCCACTCCACCGTCGCCCGCTGCAGCTGCTGCTGCTGCTGCTGCCGCTGCTGCTGGCGGCGGCGGCGGCAGGGGTCACACCGATGACGAGGATCACGATTGCCGACAATGCCGATGCCGACGATGCGGCAGCAGCGGCGGCGGGTAGCAGCGGTGGCTCCGGCTCGTTCCCGGCAGGCCCCCTGGAATTCTGCTCCGCTTGGGAGACTCCGATGGGAGCAGCTCCGTCTCCCAGGGGGCGGCCGCCAACCGTCACCGTCACCGGGCGGTTGTCGGCGGCGGCTCCGTGCCGCTCCCCGATCGCCTGTGCAGCCGCCGGTGCACGGTCGAAGAAGAGGGGATCCCCGAAGCACATCCCACACTCCTCGCACACCAAGTCCACATCGCCGCTGGCGAACCACGATGACGACGACGACGAGGAGGAGCAGGAGGAGTCGTGGTGGCGTCTCCTCGCCGCGGAGGGGCGAGCTCGCAGGGGCGAGCGGCGACACCACTGGACGCCTGGCTGGGGCCTGGCTGGGCGCCTGGCTGGGCGCCTGGCGGACGCCTGGCTGAACGCCTGGCTGAACGCCTGGGCTAGTCCCCCTGGCTGGTCCCCTGGCTGGAGGCCTGGCTGGATGCCTGGCTGGGCGCCTGGCCGGACGCGGCCCCCCGGAGCGCCAGGCCCGGCGGCTCCTCCCGGCATCTGCGATGTCGGTCAGAACAACGCCGAATTATAACGATGACGATTATAACGATGACGATTCTAACGTATAAGCGATGCGATTATGACGATGACGACTGTTCCCGGAGCCACTGGGAGCTTCGCCACTTTCTATCATCATGGTCTATATTGACAAACTAAATTCTTTAGAACTGCTTCTTGTTGTTGTCGTTGTTGTTGTGTTCAGTTTGTTGTCATTCCCCCGCACCTACCGATTAGCGCGATTGGCTCCGTGACGTTCAACGTACACAACACACAGAGACCCACAGACACCCAGACCCATAAAGACACCCCTAGAGACACCCATAGAGCCCACAGACACCCAGACCCATAGAGACACCCACAGAGACCCAGACACCGAGACCCATAGAGACACCCACAGAGACCCAGACACCGAGACCCATAGAGACACCCACAGAGACCCAGACACCGAGACCCATAGAGACACCCACAGAGACCCAGACACCGAGACCCATAGAGACACCCACAGAGACCCAGACACCGAGACCCATAGAGACACCCACAGAGACCCACAGCACACCCAGACCCATAGACACCACAGAGACCCACAGACACCCAGACCATAGAGATGTAATATAGTAAATTACGGCGGGAGACCACTTGACGGGTAGCACACTTTATTAAACACTTTCTTTAGCCACAATAACACGTGTGGACAACTACATCTCACGCTACGCGTTCCACCCGGCTACACACACGGGCTCTCCGACCCCCGTAGCTTTCCAGGGGAACTCACAGACCCACCACCGGCTGGGTATGGGTCACGACCACTGGGTCCCCGCAGCCCGGCCCCTCACACGGACGTCCGGCCGCGGGTCCCAAGGTCCCGCCTCTGAGCCCACAACAGGGTCCCGGCCCTTACAAGGACAGCCGGGGCTAGGGGTCTCAGGGCCCTATCTCTTCCTCCTCCGTCTTCGTCTTCACTGGTTACCAACTCCCCGAGCACCCGC